CGACGGACCCAAGAATTTTGAGCTTTCGAATAAAAGACGCTTTGCTGTTGGGCCAGTAGGCAAAAGGCCCCCCTGCAACCTAATCCTGGCAACGTGCGCGGTTCCGATGGAAAGCTCACTCCGCGCGCGAAATGTTCGTGGATGGCTTCCAGGATGGCAAGCTGAACGACCTAATGGCCATTAGCGCGGCACCGACGGACACCCCCACGCGCACCCTAGAGTCGCGCCAAGATGGCTCTCGCAGCCACATGGCCCATCAGAATCGGGGCCAGGCCAGGTGCCGCGGCATCGCAAAAAACAGGTTGCAAACACAGGTGGGCCGCCAACCCGTGTCCGGGGGCCTTGACGCTGATGGCCGCAAGCTCGACCCCTTGGAGCAGGGCCCTCGCAGCGTCGTCCAGCTGCGCCCTCGTCGGCAGCCATTCCTCCGAATGGCTGCGGGCATGTGGGTCTGCGGGCCAGACGGCGACCACGACGGAAACGGCCGCGATGGCACCCCGCGCCAGCAGCATCCCCCGCGACAGCGCTCACGACACGCGCCCGCGACCCGCACGGGCGACCCACGCCCGCGACCCGCGACCCGCAACCGTGAGCAGCGGCAGCGACCCACGCCGGCGACTTGCGCGCCCGCGACCCGCGCCCGCGGCCCGCGCCCGGCGACCCGCGCCCGCACCCCCACAGGGGCAAGCCTTGGGCTGGACGTGGGCTCGCCAGCGCCTTACCTCCAATCCTAGTGTCCGTGACGCACCAGCGACTGACCTCGCCGATCCTATACATTCACACGCGGAAGACACGCGACCAATCACAACCACTCTCCGAGGATGAAGTTCTTGAATGCCACAAGCGCCCCGCGTGTGAATTTACTTCTAGGGTGGGCGAGGTAAATCACCAGGCAAGTCACGGGCGAGGCACTCGAGCTGGAAGTGAGGTACGGGAGGCCGCGCCGGTCCTTTGAAGCTCGAGGACGGCGCCGAGCACTGCCCCAAGAAGGCCGGGGCGGGCCCGGCGGCGAGCGGGCGCGTGCGTGGACAGGAGGGCACGCGAGCTTGCGCGCGGGCGGGCGGGCCTGCGCGCGCGCGTTGGGCGGGCGGGCTGGCGGCCGCGCGAGCAGGCGCGCGCGCTCGCGCCGGCTGGCGGGCGCGAGGCCCGCGGAGTGGCAAGCGGAGGCGGGTGGGCGGCTGCACGGGCGCGCGGGCGTGCGGGCAGGCGCGCGGGCGGGCGGGCGACTGCAGGGGCGGAGGGGCGGGCAAGCGGGAACGCCAGGGCGGGCGGGCGCCCGTGCTGGTGCGCGCGCGAGCGAGCAAGCGGGCGGTCACCCCGCCTACTGAAGTCGCTCCTCTCCGCCTCTCTCTTGGATGAAGCGTTGGGCGCGAGCTGAGAATGTCGCTGGGATGAAGCGCTGGGGCAACATATGAGCACGTCAAGTCTCCGCCACTTCCTTCCCTGGATGAAGCGTTGCACGTAGGATGAATATGTCGCGCATGCTGAAGCCCGAACAGTACGTCAACAATATGTTGCACCACCTAGCGCGGACAATACCGCGCATCGATATCGTATCGTATCTGGCGCTCATTTTCCCCTCCCCTTCCCCCCAATCATAATATCAAGTTCGGTTTGGGCGAGTCGGAACAGCTCGGTGGTGCAACACTCTGTCGGGAGCCCGGGTCACAGGCCCTTCGCCAGGCGACCAATGCGCAAGAAAAAGAGCCAATGCGCGGCAAAAGTGGTGCAGCATTTTGTCGATGTGCGGTCCGTGGGGATCTGTCTTAGGTTGGTAACTCGCCGTCAGGGCCAGATGCTCCGCGAGATCCTGGTCATGGGCGCGCTCCAGGAAGGGGCCATGCAGGGCGCTCTCCGCCTGGGCGACTGGGCTCACCCCGCGGCGCCGACACGCGAGTCAGGCGCGCTCGCGCCACACTGGAAATTGCCGGACCTCCTCGCGCCGTGAGCAAACAACATGGCGGACAATGTTTCTGCACGTGGGCCCTCACCAGCCCTGGGGCGGTCAAACCACAGCACAACCCAGGATGAGAAACCCGCCCCCGGGAAGGGGTCGGGACCTCGGGGGGGCCACACTGTAGAAAAGTCACGACGTCGGAGGTATGGGTCAGAAGGGGGATCGCGCCACGCCTTGCGTGTGGCGGAGCGCGCAAGGGAGGGGCGCGAGGGGGTTGGCCGATGGCGGCGGCTTCCAAGAGGGCATGGGCCTGCTCAGCAGCCCTCCCGGAGGCCCACCTTCCCATCGCACCATCCCCTTGTGCGCGCCACCAAGACATCCCACTCCTTCGACCTGTCCACCCCCCACTGCTTTGAATTCTCCCATGCCCGCAGACTGAGATTTGTCCAACAGGGCTTGACATCTCCAGCTGGATCACAGCAGCAAGATTTGGCCATAGGGGGAGAATTGAGGACGCGGAGGGATCGAGGATCGAGGCTCGGGGTAGCTGAACCCGACGTCGTGGTCGGACCAGGCAAGCTGGCGGTGGGCTGTGCCGCAACGGGCGCAGTCACGTCTCGGTCGGTGACGGAGACCGCCAGAAGAAGGGGAGTCTCGATCCGAGCGGGAGATCCGCGCAGGCCCCCAGAAGGTAATGTTTGTGTCGATGGCTGCTTTTCGAGTGGACGAAGAAGAGGAGGTTGGCATGAAGAAACCTGGTCCTGAGGGAAACACTGGCCTTGCAGACTTGCTGCAGCGGATTTATGCGTGGATTTCTGCGTGGATGTTTGCCCGAAGCGGCGAGCGAAGAACGAAGTGAATTTCGCGTGGATTCATTTTGGTCTTCATTCCTGGGCATGCACAAATCCGCACGAAACTCATCTAGAAATCTGGAACGAAAATCTCCAGGACAACCCGGGCCCACCCGATTGTTTTCCGAAGGAACTCCGCTCTGCGATGTTGGCGCCATGAGAAACAGGCCCTGGACCCTGGGGGCCTTCCCCAGGAGCGCTCCCTGGCGCTCCGGGACGCTCCATGGCGCTTCCGCCGCCCAGACCAGCGCCACCCAGAGGCTGCGCGAAGCCCGAGGGCGGCGACGGGCATCAGAGGCCCGTCTTCCTCAGGGCACCCCTTTCCTTTTCAAATGTATGTGTGTATGTGCGTATGTGTGTGTGTGTGTGTGTCTGTGTCTGTGTATGCATGCATGCATGCATGCATGCATGCATGCACGCACGCACGCACGCACGCACGCACGTACGTACGTACGTACGTACGTATGTATGTATGTATGTATGTATGTATGTATGTACGTGTATGTATGTATGTATGTACGTACATATGTATGTATGGATGTATGTATGTATGTATGTATGCATGTAGGTATGTATGTATGTATGTATGTTAGTATGCATGTAGGTATGTATGTATGCATGCAGGCATGTATGTATGTATGTCGTATGTATATATATATATATATATATATATATATGCCTGGACGTATGTATTATGTGTATGTGAATGTGAATGTGTATGTGTATGTGTATGTATATGTGTATGTGTATGTATGTATGTCGATAGGTATGCTGGTATGGATGCATGTATATATGCATGTATGTATGTATGCATGATTGTATGCTTGTATGTATGTATGTGTATGTGTGTATGTGTGTATGTATGTATGTATGTATGTACTTATGTCCGTGTGTCTGTCTGTCTGTCTGTATGTATGTGTGTATGAAAAAAAAAAAACGTGTGTGCATGTACGTATGGATGCATGCATGTGTGTATGTGTGTGCGTATGTGCGTAGGTGCGTATGCATGTATGTACGCATGTTTGTTATTATGTATGTATGATTGTGTGTACCTATGTATGTGCAAATATGTATGCATGAATGTATGTGTCTGTTTGTATGAACATACGCATTCATGTATGTATGTAGATCGGCAGGTAAGTAGGTAGACAGGTAGGTAGGTAGGTAGGTAGGTGTATGCATGCATGCATGCATGTATGTGTAAATAGGTATGTGTGTGCCTGCGTGTATGTATGTATGTATGTATGAATGAAGTGTAAGCATTCGTATATGTGTGTATGTATGTGTATCTGTATGTATGATTGTATATATGTACGTATGTATGTATGACTGTATGTACGTATGTATGTACGCAATCCAACGTCGGTGAGAATCGCACCCGGTGGATAATAGAATTCGGGCTCCTGCGAGGGTAATAATTTGTCATGGAGATACCGTCGTTGGTCTTGAATGACCTCCACGCTGGTCTGGAGAAGCCTTCCCCTGGAGGACCTCCAAGACAGAGAAGAGAAGGATAGAAATAAGAGAACAAGGACAGAGAACAAGGAAGAAAAGGAGGGGAGGAGAAGGAGAAGAAGGAGGAGGACGACGAGGAGAGGGAGGAGGAAGAGGAGGAGGATAAGGAGATTTCATCAGAAATCACAGTTCCAGACCTATCACATTCGATGTGTACTACTGAAGAATTATTGGTGGGTTTCTACTTGTCGTGTAGGAGTGCTCATGGTTGCTCTTTGGGGGTGTGAACCAATGACGGCGATAAGCAAGTTCAGCTGGGGCGCGGAGGGAGATTGACGGGGAGGGAGAGGAGAAAGACATAGCGAAGAGTAGGAATAGGAGTAAGAGAAGAGGGGAAATTCGAAACATTGAAGGTTTCGCTGGAAGATCCTCGCAAAACCAACACGTGCGCGACAGTGCGTTTTACAAAACCAAGCGTTTCGCTTCAGACATCCTCGACAAGCTGCTGGTTGCGAACTCAGTGAATATTCGGAAACTTGCGTTTCGCTTGATACATCGTCACGATATCGATAATACAAATTACTCATGGTGCTATGCGTGATATGAAGATCAGAGCGACGATGCAAACTTTGGGTGGGTGATTCTACAGTTCGCCCCACGCGCCTCTTGCCGCAATTCGAACCCACATGCACCCCGTGGATAATCAGAAAGGGGGGTGAAGGGGGGAGGTCACCTTTATCATCCACGGCATGTGGTTATTTGTGCAGATAGGTGTATACGGCCGCACGGCCGTCATCCTGGTCCTCGTCGCCAGCATTGGAGCACTCGACGTGGATGAAGGTGTTGCGCAGCCGCACGCAGTGCCCGGGGTAGTCGCAGTGCCCCTGGGAGCCCAGGTCACTGGCGATCTGTGTTTTTTCAACCATGGCTTCGCTCAGTCCCGTCAGCGGGCCACGGGTCCGTCAAAAAACAGACCGGCAGCGCACAGCTGCTCCAGGGGAGGGGGTGGGGATTTCTCAGGCTACGGCTTGAACACCATATCGTCGGATGTCTGGGAGCTCCGTCGACGGGATCCACGTCGCCCTTCTCCTCCTCCTCCTCCCCTCTCCTCGTCTTCCTCGTCCTCCTCCGCCAGACCTCCAGACCTCCGACGTCGATTCTGTTTCGCCAGGTGGCTCCTGGAGTCTAGCCCACTTCCCCAGGGCAAGCTCTTCTTGCTGAGTCGTTTTTGTTCACGGTCCCAGGGCCGGGCGAGGGCACCCTGAGACCCGGAAATTGCCAACACCCGGTGTGTTGTTGTCCTTGCGACGCGAAAAGCTCGGGGTCCCTCGCCCCCTCCTGACCCTGTCCCCGCCGCACGAACGTATATACGCAGACCCCCCCACTGGACTGTTCCTGGGCCTCAGTGGGGAGGGAGGCGGTGCAAACATCACCATTGAGAGCCAGTGACTTTCTACACCGCCACCCTCACTGAAGGTACATCCAATTCTCGTCGGGGAGTGCGTGTGTGTATATATATACATATACTAGAGCCATCGCGCGCGCTTCGCGCGCGCTCGAATTCTGGTTAGGCTTGATGGGCAAAACACATGGAATATCATCCTTGTCGCTTCTTGCATCCAGGGACTCTCTTGGAGACCCTGCGAAAGCCCCAGAATCGCATAGACGGGGAACCTGTGGAAACGCAAACATCACTAATTGCAGTTAGGGGTTCAACGATTTGGGGCCCTCGAAGGTTTCCTGGGTTCTTGTCTGGGGCCTTGGTTGTGGTCTGTTGTGCAAGAGTAGACAGAAGGGCGAACTCGGAAAAAAAAAAAAAAAAAAAAAAAAAAAAAAAAACGGAATGGTGGGATTCCCTTTTTGTTCAAGTTGTAGCGCCTGGGCTGTGAGTAAGACGTTTTCTGCATGCAGGCCAGGGTCTGTTGGGATGCCCCTCGGGGACTTCGTGCAAAAATAAACAGGGGGAGTTTGACAAACAAATATTCTAAAATTCCACTGCTTCAACTCATGGGATCATGGGATCCTCATGTCTGCAATGGTTTCAGGGGCAGCCAAGAGGACACGAAGACGGTCCAAGAGAGTGCCATGACAGCGTCAGAGAGTCCAACAGCATTCCCGAAACACTTCTGCATGCGACCCCGAAGTCTTGATTCTCGAGCGCGAAAAATACCCGCACCCTTACCTAGACAGGGTGGCAAGGGGCCGGGGGGGCGGTTCGTCGCAGCTGACGGCGGCTGCACAAGTGTAGAAACGAGAGCCGATCGAGCATTACAGACCGCTGTCCTTTCGGGGCGCATGTTAGCACCGATCGCACGTGCGTTCGAATCGGCGGAGTGCCCGACCCTGCGTTGGTTTTTGTCGATGTAGACCAGCTACTGCGGAGGCGCGCCCCCGGACACACATCCGGGCGTTGAGGAGTCAGAACGCACTCGGGGTCGCATGCGAACAACTCTGGCGCGAACGTCATTGCGCGACAACCGCCCTATCGCGAATTGCTCGATGCAGAGACATCGCGACTCTGTGCCCTGGGCGAGGTCGCCAGAGGCCGCCCCCCTTGGACGGCCGTCTGCGGATCACCCCTGCTAGGTACGGTTGCCCCATGAAAACCAAAAAAACATACCCGTACCTAGCCGGGGTGCCGCAGCTCCACCCCAGCTAGGTCCGGGTATATTTCGGTGGTTTCAGGCAGGTCCCCGTACCTAGCCGAGGTGGCGGCAGGCCCAAAACGCTGTCGAGCACATATCATGCCCTCCAGAGCCGTCCCCGACGTGGCCGCTGCGGCACCCTGGGGGCGCGACATTGCAACGTCGTTCCTCAGGGCAGGCCCAGACGCATTGGTTGCCAGGGATAGCGAGGAAATGCAGCTGTTTATTGATTGGGACAGGCGCCACCACACATGGGCGGCTTTGAGCCGCGCATGCACCACGATGCCCCGAGACGTCCCTAACAAAAACCAGCGCTTGTCGCTGCAATCAGACACCCAACCATCGAGCGCGCCGTGGCGTCTTGACGCGCGAATGCTGCACTGGCGCGCGCGGGGCAAGCTGACCGGGCACAATAGCAGGCGCCCGCTTCCCCGGACGGCCCATCTCACCTTGGCTGGCCCCGGGTACGGGTATCTTTCGGACCAATGATTGATGGGGCTCGATGAAGCGGATAGGAAGCAGGAGTCACAACTTGAAAAAAAAACAATCTCTGGAATTCCTGTATTCCCAACCCTCCTTGGTTGGATATTCGTTTTGAATAGAGGGGTGTGGTCGCGTCTCTCCTTCTCCTCCTCCTCCCGCCTCCCGCCTCCTCCTGTCCTCTCTTCGCCGTCCCTGGGGGGCTGCGATCTGCGAAACTGCACGCAGCCACTTTCGAGGGCTGAGGGTGGGTCCTGCGGAGTGAGGCACCGCGCGGATCTGAGCGAGACCTCGCCGTCCCTGGGGGGGCTGCGATCTGCGACACCGTCGCCACTTTCGAGGGCGGCTGGTGGGTCCTGCGGAGTGAGGCACCGCGCGGATCTGAGCGAGACCTCGCCGTCCCTGGGGGGCTGCGGTATGCGAAAATGTCGTCACTTTCGAGGGTTGTTGGTGGGTCCTGCGGAGTCGGAGTGAGGCACCACGCGGATCTGAGCGAGACCTCGCCGTCCCTGGGGGGCTGCGATCTGCGAAACGGTCGCCACTTTCGAGGGCTGCTGGTGGGTCCTGCGGAGTGAAGCACCGCGCAGATCTGAGCCAAACCTCGCCGTCCCTTGGGGGCTGCGGTATACGAAACTGTCGCCACTTTCGAGGGCTGCTGGTGGGTCCTGCGGAGTGAGGCACCGCGCGGATCTGAGCGAGACCTCGCCGTCCCTGGGGGGCTGCGATCTGCCAAACTGTCGCCACTTTCGAGGGCTGCTGGTGGGTCCTGCGGAGTGAGGCACCACGCGGATCTGAGCGAGACCTCGCCGTCCCTGGGGGGCTGCGATCTGCGAAACGGTCGCCACTTTCGAGGGCTGCTGGTGGGTCCTGTGGAGTGAGGCACCGCGCGGATCTGAGCGAGACCTCGCCGTGCCTGGGGGGCTGCGATCTGCGAAACGGTCGCCACTTTCGAGGGTTGCTGGTGGGTCCTGCGGAGTGAGGCACCGCGCAGATCTGAGCCAGACCTCGCCGTCCCTGGGGGGCTGCGGTCTGCGAAACTGTCGCCGCTTTCGAGGGCTGCTAGTGGGTCCTGCGGAGTGAGGCGCCGCGCGGATCTGAGCGAGACCTCGCCGTCCCTGGGGGGCTGCGATCTGCCAAACGGTCGCCACTTTCGAGGGCTGCTGGTGGGTCCTGCCGAGTGAGGCACCGCGCAGATCTGAGCCAAACCTCGCCGTCCCTTGGGGGCTGCGGTATGCGAAACTGTCGCCACTTTCGAGGGCTGCTGGTGGGTCCTGCGGAGTGAGGCACCGCTGAGCGAGACCTCGCCGTCCCTGGGGGGCTGCGATCTGCGAAACTGTCGCCACTTTCGAGGGCTGCTGGCGGGTCCTGCGGAGTGAGGCACCGCGCAGATCTGAGCGAGACCTCGCCGTCCCTGTGGGGCTGCGATCTGCGAAACTGTCGCCACCTTCGAAGGCTGCTGGTGGGTCCTGCGGAGTGAGGCACCGCGCGGATCTGCGCGAGACCTCGCCGTGCCTGGGAGGCTGCGGTCTGCGAAACTGTTGCGACTTTCGAGGGCTGCTGGTGGGTCCAGCGGAGTGAAACACCGCGCAGATCTGAGCGGGACCTCGCCGTCCTTGGGGGGCTGCGATCTGCCAAACGGTCGCCACTTTCGAGGGCTGCTGGTGGGGCTTGCGGAGTGAGGCACCGCGAAGACCTGAGCGGGACCTCGCCGTGCCTGAGGGGCTGCGATCTGCGAAACTGTCGCCACTTTCGAGGGCTGCTGGTGGGTCCAGCGGAGTGAGGCACCGCGCAGATCTGAGCGGGGCCTCGCCGTCCTTGGGGGGCTGCGATCTGCGAAACCGTCGCAACTTTCGAAGGCTGGTGGCGGGTTCAGCGGAGCGAGGCACCAGGCACATCTGAGCGAGACATCGCAATCCTTGGGGGGCTGCGAGCCTCACGAATGCCGCTCGCAGAAGTATATGCGCCCATGTCACGTCATCACCTCCGTATAACGTCTCCCAAGCTACTCATGCCCCGCATTGCGCAAGGGGTTGGGTACGTCGCCAGGGTAATTTTCAAATTCCTCTGTCTTGGAGCGTTGGAAGGGGGAAACCGTGAGAAGGCGAAAAACGTCGACAAAACCCACTGAAAATCAACGATTTGACCCTCTTCGGGCTCTCTCGGGACGGCTCTCGAAGCTCTCTTGGGCTGTTTGGGGGGCCTCGTCGGAGCTCTTTTGGGAGCCTCTCAAGGGTCTGGGGTGTGTTGGAGGCCTCTGGGGGGTCCCAGAGTCCTCTCGGAGATCTCTGGCGGCCTCCGGCTCCCGCTCTTGGGCTCATCTTGGGCCTGTTCTGGGGTGGTCTGGAGCTGTCCGGGGCGCCTCTTCGGCAGTCTTGGGGCCGTCTTGGCCCGTCTTGGGGCCGTCTTGGGGGCCTCTTGGGCCGTCTTGGGGCGGTCTTGGGGGCCTCTTCGGCCGTCCAGGAGCGTTGGAAGCATGAAATGGTGAGAAGACCAAAAACCCTGAAACGAAAATAATGAAAATTAGCGATTTGAGGTTCTCCGGGCGCTCTCTCTCTTGAAATCTTTTGGCTCCTGGGAGCCTGGAGGGCCGCCCGAAAGCTATCCTGGGATGCTTGGGAGCGTCTTGGGCCTTTCTTTGACGTTCTGGGGGCTTCTTGGGGTCGTCTTGGGCTGTCCTTGGGCGTTTTGGGGGCTCCCTGGGAGGTCGGGAAGCGCGGTACCGGAGCGTGCCGCAGATGTTCCGGGAAGGTGTGGGACCCCCGGGAGGGGGGCGCGCATTTGTTGAACTTGGAAAAATTATCCCAGTGCGACCCTACCTAGGAGTTGGAACCCCTGGGAAAGCAGCATTAGTAGTAACAGTAACGCTAAGCTAAAGCTAAGCTAAAGCTAAGCTGAAGCTAAGATAAAGCTAAGCCACAGTTAAGCTAAAGCTAAGCTAAAGCTAAGCTAAAGTTAAGCTAAAACTAAACTAAAGCTAAGCTAAAGCTAAGCTAAAGTTAAGCTAAAGCTGAGCTAAAGCTGAGCTAAAGCTAAGCTAAAGCTAAGCTAGAGCTAAGCTAAAGCTAAGCTAAAGCTAAGCTAAAGCTAAGCTAAAGCTAAGCTACAGCTAAGCTACAGCTAAGCTAAAGCTAAGCTAAAGCTAAGCTAAAGCTAAGCTAAACGCTAAGCGAAAAGCTAAGCGACACGCTAAGCTAAAGCTAAGCTACAGCTAAGCTAAAGCTAAGCTAAAGCTAAAGCTAAAGCTAAAGCTAAAACTCCCAGGGGACTGGGGGGAACCGCGGGGCGGGGACTGGGGGAACCGCCCGGGGCGCTTTCCACTGCCCGGCCCCTTTAAGCTAGAGAGTAAGAACCCTTCTAGGCAGAGCCTAGGTAGGGAAAAAGAAAATTTCTAAATTTTGTTTCTTCAAATTCCTCGGTCTTGGAGCGTTGGAAGCAGGAAAACGTGAGAAGGCGAAACAAGTCGACAACAAACAACTGAAAATCAACGATTTTACCCTCTTCGGGTCGGAGCTTTTTTGGGGGCCTCTCAGGGGTCTGGAGTGTGTTGGAGGCCTCTGGGGGGTCCCAGAGTCCTTTCGGAGGTCTCTGGCGGCCTCCTGCTCCCGCTCTTGAGCTCATCTTGGGCATTGGGCCTGTTCTGGGGTGGTCTGGAGCTGTCCTGGGCGCCTCTTCGGCAGTCTTGGGGCCGTCTTGGCCCGTCTTGGGGCCGTCTTGGGGGCCTCTTGGGCCGTCTTGGGGCGGTCTTGGGGGCCTCTTCGGCCGTCTTGGAGCGTTGGAAGCATGAAATTCGGGAGCGGCCGAAGGGGGGGTGTCCAAGAGGGGGGGGGCACATCATGACCAGCGGCATGTGCGCGGCCCAGGGGGGTGGCTGGGGACGTAATGAAATAAGAAGAGGCGCCATAAAATCTTGGGAACTATCGTGGCCCACGCCATGATATCCACCCCACCCTATTCATCACCCCTCTCTTTGCCGCCCCCGAGAAATGGTGAAGCCAAAAACCCTGAAACAAATAATGAAAATTAACGATTTGAGGTTCTCCAGGCGCTCTCGGGAGGCTTCTCGGAGCTCTCTTGAGGTCTCTCGGAGGCCTCCGGGGAGCCTGGAGAGCTGCCCGAAAGCTATCCTGGGTTGCTTGGGAGCGTCTTGGGCCTTTCTTTGACGTTCTGGGGGCTTCTTGGGGTCGTCGTCTTGGGCTGTCTTTGAGCGTTTTGGGGGCTCCCTGGGAGGTCGGGAAGCGCGGTACTGGGAGCGTACTCGAGGTGTGAGCGAGATGGAGGACGCCCCGGGAGGGAGCCCAGCGTATTCGTTTATAGTATACATCGTATATGTGTGTATGCATTCGTGTCGGACTGTCCTTCCCAACAACCTCTCCCCCAAAGCCTCTCCCGCTGGGAGCGCGTCGGCTCAACACTTCGAAGGGAGCCCAGTCCGCGGCGACGAGAAGCCACCTTCTGAGGGGCCAAGAGAGGCCAGAAGAGCGGCCGCCACACACTTCTTTCCTAGAATCCCGACCCCTCTCATTTACCGCTACCCCTCATCCGTCCTTGTGCATCCAGGGACGGAGGAGGGTCGATATACTGGAGCCCTGTCGGACTTCCTGTTGGGCCACACTGGTTGCCGCTACCGGTGCTACACTGATGGCACCCTGTCAGTTGAGCCCAGGTGGCTTTTGAATGCCCCTAGTACACATGGCAAGCAAGAACTTCAACGCTAGTCCACCACTCCCACCCTCGCTCCCGCCATCCAAATTTCCGACGCTGTGATTTTCCCATAACGCGGACCCCCAGGGGTCCCGACCCCTGCTTCGCCGTCGTCCTCCTCGCGGTCCTTGTTGCCGTCGTCGTCGCTGTCCACGTCGTCGTCGTCGTCGTCGTCGTCGTCGTCGTCGTTGTCGTCGCCGTTGTCGTCGTGAAAGACGTCGCTGTCGTCGCCGCCGTCGTCGCCGTCGTCGCCGCCGACGTCGCCGTCGCCGTTGCTGTCGTCGCCGGCGTCCGCCCTGGCCCCCAGACCTCCAACGCATCGACAAAACAAGCGTGTGGTTCGCTGTTCGTTGGCTGCATGCAAGACTGACCCTGTGCACGAGCGACCTTTGATGCACGGCGTCTGAGCCCCCCCCCGCGCCCCCGAAAGCCCAGCACCAAAGCCCAGAGAACGGAGAGGGCCCGGGGTCTCGCAAGGAACAGACAACGGGACGTCGGAGGTCTGGGCTCCTTCTCTTCCTCGTCCGATCGTCATTCCTTCCCCTCCTCCTCCATCTCCTCCGGCCCCACGACCTCCGACGTCGCGTGCTATGCTGCCGCGTGGGTCCCCGTAGGAGCAGACGACCCCTGCCTGGGGGCCAGCCCCTCGACCTCGTCCTGGTCCTGAGCATCCCTCTGACTGCGGGACCAGGCGACGGGCCCCGATGTAAGGCCAACAAAACTGCATCAACCATGAAACGTCTGTTCCAGGCGGAAGGAAGTCTGGCATTGGGCTCATGACGCTGGTCTCCAGCGTCCGTTCGGGACGATCCAGGCACCCCTCGAACGCCCTCGGCGAGGTGCAGCTGCCGGGAAGCGCGCCCCGAGGCCGGAAAACTTCCAGGAACACGCGGGACCGTCCGTACACATTCCGTCGTGTTTTTTTGGTGACGCCAGATGGCCTGGGTTCCCCCTCCTCCATCTCCTCCGCCAGTCTAAGCCGCGCGCGTTGAGCTGCATCACGCTGGTCCCCGCCGCGTCCACGCTGGGGCAGCAGACGTGGTTGCTGCACGGACTTGGCGTGCCAGTTCGGGGAGACAGGAGAGGGGGGGGGAGGAAGAGGGGATGGGTAGGGGGAGGGGGAGGAGGAGGAGGAGGAGGAGGAGGAGGAGGAGGAGGAGGAGGAGGAGGAGGACGAGGAGGAGGAGGAGAGGGAGGAGGAGGAGGAGGAGGAGGAGGAGGGGAGGAGTAGGAGGCAGGAGGGGAGAGGAGGAGGAGGAGGAGGAGGAGGGAGGGAGGAGGAGGAGGAGGAGGAGGAGGAGGGAGGAGGAGGAGGAGGAGGAGGAAGGAGAGGGAGGAGGAGGAGGAGGAGGAGGAGGAGGAGGAGGAGGGCGGAGGAGGAGGGAGGAGGAGGAGGAGGAGGGAGGAGGAGGAGGAGGAGGAGGAGGAGGAGGAGGAGGAGGAGGAGGAGGAGGAGGAGGAGGAGGAGGAGGAGGAGGAGGAGGAGGAGGAGGAGGAGGAGGAGGAGGAGGCGGAGGGAGGAGGGAGGAGGAGGAGGAGGAGAGGAGGAGGAGGGGGGGGGGGAGGGGAGGAGGAGGAGGAGGAGGAGGAGGAGGAGGAGGAGGGAGGAGGAGGAGGAGGAGGAGGAGGAGGAGGAGGAGGAGGAGGAGGAGGAGGAGGAGGAGGAGGAGGAGGAGGAGGAGGAGCTCACGCACTGCTAGCGGACCAACGCGCCGGCGGCGACGACGGCGGCGGCCGCCGCCTACGACGCGGCCACCCTCGCGGCCAACGCGGACCTCTGCGCGCTGGACCCCCTCACGCCCGAGGCGCAGACGCAGTGCCGCCTCCCGCTCCGGCTCGGCGGCCGCGGCTTCCGCAGCCAGGAGCAGCTCGCCCCCGCCGCCTGGGCCGCCTCCTGGGCGCAGGGCCTGGCAGAGGCCCGCGCCCAGACGGGCCTCGACAGCTTGGGGACTTGGAGACCTGCAACCTGCCGCTGGCCGCGGCCTGCCGCCGCGCTCTCTCCGGCTTCGCCGCGCTGGCGCCGCCGCCGCCCCGGCAGGGCGACGCCCCAGACACGCTGCCCACCTGGCAGGAGCTCGCCTCCGCGCCTCAGAGGAAATTCCAGAAAGCGCTCACAGCAAGGATCGACGAACAAAAAACACCACTCCTTGCTGGGCGCCCTGGGACCCGAGGCGCGGGCACTCTTGCGCAGCTGCGGCGGCCCGCACGCCTCCGGGTGGCAGAGCGCCTCGCCCGGGCGACCCCAGGAGCGGCTCGACGACGCCGACTAGTGGGTCACCGCCCGCGCGCTGCTGGGCCAGGACGTGGCGCCGCCGGGCGCCACCTGCTGAAACCGCGCCCGGACTGGCGCCCGCGCCGGCCAGCCCTGCGGCGAGGCCCTCGGCGACAAGGCACGCCACGCCTGGCGTTGCCCACGCGGGGGCGGCCTCAAGGCCCGCAACGGGGACCTTGAGCAGACCTGGCAGCGCATCCACGTGGAGTGTGGCTACCGCTCTGCGCGCCAGGTCCACGTCCCGGCCTGGGACCGCTGGGCGTGGCGGTGCGCTGGCTGCGGTGCGCGCGGGACCGCGGCCGCGCGGCCTACTGCCGCGTGCGCCGCCTGCGGCCAGGGCCTGACAGCCGACCGCGAAGAGGCCATCCTGGACCTCGAAGCACAGCGGGCCGGCCAGCCCCGCCTGTTCTTCGACGTTACCGTCCGGTACAGCGTACCCAGCGACGTCGACGGGCTGGCCGCCGCCGCGGGCCACGACGGCGCGGTGAACGCGGCGGCAGAGGCGGACAAGCGCCGGCGCTACCCCGAGGGGCACGCGCCGTGGCGCATGGTGCCCCTGGCGCTTGAAACCGCTGGGCGCCACGGCAAAGCGGCCCTGCAGCACCTGCGGGCCCTGGCCCGCGAGCAGGCGGCCCTCCTGGAGGAGGAGGAAGGGGTTGGCGCCGCAGAAGCGGTCGCTGGGCAGCTCGTCGCCCGCTGGGGCGGCGAGCTCTCCGTCGCGCTTCAGCAGGCGACAGCCCGGCAACTCTCGACGGCGCTGGGAGTCGACCGCGCGGCGGGCGCGGCCAGCCTGCGCGCCGCGCTGGCCAGGTACGCCGGCGCCGCGTGGCCGCGGCGGCGCAGCTGGGCGGGGGTGCCGGGGGCGCGCTGGGGCGTCTACTTCCTGGATGCGACCATCGTGTCGGGGGCGTCTACTACCTGGAGGCGTCCATCGTGTGTGGTTGGCGCACCGACTTCTCTTTATTGCAGGAGGAGGAGGAGGAGGAGGAGGAGGAGGAGGGGAGGAGGGGAGGAGGAGAGGAGGTGAGGAGGAGGAGAGAGGGAGAGGAGGGAGGGAGGAGGAGGAGGGGAGGAGGAGGAGGAGGGAGGACGAGAAGGGAGAGAAGGATTGAGGATTGAGGATGGAGGATGGAGGATGGAGTATGGAGGACGGAGGACGGAGGGATGGAGGAGGAGAGGAGGAGGAGGAGGAGGAGGAGGAGGAGGAGAAGGAGGAGACGAGGAGGAGGAGGAGGAGGAGGAGGAGGAGGAGGAGGAGGAGGAGGAGGGGGGGAGGAGGAGGAGGAGAGAGGAGGAGGAGGAGGAGGAGGAGGAGGGGAGGAGGAGGAGGTAGGAGGAGGAGGAGGAGGAGGAGGAGAGGAGGAGTTGGAGGAGGAGGAGGAGGAGGAGGAGGAGGAGGAGGAGGAGGAGGAGGAGGTGAGGAGGAGGAGGAGGAGGAGGAGGAGGAGGGGAGGGAGGAGGAGGAGGGAGGAGGAGGAGGAGGAGGAGGAGGAGGAGGAGGAGGAGGAGGAGGAGGAGGAGGATGGAGGAGGAGGAGGAGGAGGAGGAGGAGGAGGAGGAGGAGGAGGAGGAGGAGGAGGAGGATCGAGGCGAGGGCGGGCAGGCGCCCCGACATCCCCGCGCCGCATGAGAACACAGAACACGGCGGGAGATGTCCTCCGATCCTCGGCCTCTGGGGCCCCACGTTGCGAGGACGGAGGGAGACAAGGTCGGAGGATCGCGTCGCATCGGCAAGGCATCGGCGATGCACTGGCGACGTCGCCGATGCATCGGCGATGCGGAGCGATCCTTCGACCCCAGTAGGCCAAGTCGGGCCTGTCCTCCTACAGGGGGATGTTGGACGACAAAATAAACATACTCCAGAAATACACCAACAATTGTCAAACATAGTCGGGACATCGTCCCCAGACTATTTTTGGAATAGTTCTGAACATCCCTCCTGTAGAGGGACAGGCCCGACTGAAGCCTAGAGCATGGCGACGGCCGATGAGCACGCCCGCCGCAGAGAGCTGGCACACCTGCCCCTGGAATTGCCCGAAGAGCGCTGGCTGTGAGCTCACAAAGGATCTGCGCCGACTCGGGCCTCCTCCGCCTGCCCACCCCCTTGCCCTCCCTCTCGATACCATCCCCTCTTCCCTCCTCGTGGTCCTCATCATTCTCGCCGTTACCCTTCGTCGTCCGTCCCCCTCCTCGTTCGTCCTCGCTGTCGTCGCCCTCTCGCTCCGTCATCCTCGTCGTCGTCCGCCTCCCCAGACCGACGTTGTGGTCATTTCGCGAACTGGACCCCGCAGAGGTATGGGTCCGTTCCCTGGGGGTCGGCTCTCCATCCTGAGCAGGTATTGTACGGCCCAGGGGCCAAGTAGAAGCCCCCAGAGGCCGAACATGACGAAAAGCGTATGTCCGTCGATTGGGAGGAGGTATGGGTTCACCGCCCCCTGCACTCGATCTAGTCGTGATACGGTCGGGAACTATGGGATAGCGTCGCGCCACGGCGGCCACGGCGACATGTCATGCCCTGCGAGTGGATAGCGTGTCGCTCCGCTCCGCGGGGTGGGAGGCTCGGAAAGGCTCGCGGCGTTGTTGCGTGGGGATAGGGACGTGGACAGCGTGTCGCGCCGAAACTCGGTGGGCCAGAACCAGCGGAACGACACGCTAACCAACAGTTCCCGACCGTAATCCTCCTCCTCCTCCTCCTCCTCCTCCTCCTCCTCCTCCTCCTCCTCATCCTCCGTCCTCCTCCCCCTTCTCCTCGTTGGCCCCTCCGCCTCCCGCTCCGCCTCCCCTGCTCGTCCTCCCTTTCCCCCTTCCACGCCCCCGCCTCCTCGCAAACGTACCCGTCGTTCATTTCTGATCGCACTTATCCCACCAGCCCTCTGGGCGTGAGTGGTTTAGGGAGCTCTCTCTGTTCTCAACCCCCTAACCCCCTATCTTCCCCTTCGGGGAGGGGTTTACCCCTCCCCCTACCCCCTCCCCTGGACCTGGAGAGGGCGGGCGGAGTGGTGGCAAGGGGGTCTTTTTTCGACTCCTGGGAGGGCCAAAAAAACGACGACCCTCACGAGGATTCTGGTCCCGAGGGGGGGAGACCGTTTGACGCCTCAACACGTCTTTCAAGCCAACAACATTGATTTTACTACGGTTTTGGCCCCTTTTTGCCCTTCTGAGGGGGCCGCGCTCATCGTCCTTCATCGCAAAATTATTGAGTTTACTAAGGTTTTGGCGTCATTTTCTCCTTCTCAGGGGGCAGCGCTCATTTCCGCTTCTGAGGAGGTCGCAAGAGGCCCCAAGATGACCCCAAGAAGCTCCCAGGAGCCTCCCACGAGGCCTCCAAGAGGCCCCCAAGAGGCCCCCAAGATGCCCCCAGAGGTCACCAAGAGGCTCCCAAGAGGCCCCCATGAGGCCCCAAGAAGCCCCAAGAGGCCCCCAAGAGGCCCCCAAGAGGCCCCCAAGAGACGCCCCAGAGGCCCCGAGAGGCTCCAAGAGGCTCCCAAGAGGCCCCACGAGGAGCCCGAACGAGGCGCCCGAACGACTCACACCACGAGGAGCCCGAACGACTCGCACCACCAAGAGGTTCCCAAGAGGCCCGAAGAGGCTCCCCCAAGGCACCCAAGACGCTCCTAGAAGCCCCTGGGGCCGCCAAGACGCCCCCAAGACGCCCCAAAAGGGGACGAGGTGCCCGAACGCCTCACGCCACGAGGAGCCCGAACGACTCACACCAGGACGAGGGGCCCGAACGACTCACACCACGAAGAGCCCGAACGACTCACACCAGAAGGAGGGGCCCGAACGACTCACACCAGGACGAGGCGCCCGAACGACTCACACCACGAGGAGCCCGAACGACTCACACCACGACGAGGGCCCCGAACGACTCACACCACGAGGAGCCCGAACGAGTCACACCAGGAGGAGGGGCCCGAACGACTCACACCAGGACGAGGGGCCCGAACAACTCACACCACGAGAAGCCCGAACGACTCACACCAGGACGAAGAGCCCGAACGACTCACACCACGAAGAGCCCGAACGACTCACACCAGGAAGAAGGGCCCGAACGACTCACACCAGGACGAGAACGACTCAAACCACGAGGAGCGCTTTCTCTCCCTCCTCCTCCGCCTCGTCCTTCTCCCGCTCCCCCCACAAGGAGGATGTACAAGGAGGCGGGAGGAAGGAAGAACAGGGGAGATATGCGGGGCCAAGCGGACACACGCCTGAAAAACACGACTGTCGGCATGCTTCGCGAGAGTTGCTGCTGTGAGATGGGCTGGTGGGGATACGCGAAGCGTAAAGAATTTCTAATCATGCTCGCTTCTGACTGCTCCTGGCCCCCATAGTGGCCAGGAAGAGGCCAATGGATAGAACAATCAAAAATGAGAGGAGCTGGGCCCCCAAACAAAATCAAAGAGCTTTCGAAGACTTAGTAAGGAACAGTGTGTACCCCTGGCATCCCGACGACGTGGGAAAATCACCATAGGGGTGCGGCTCGCTGTCTTTGCGGCCTCTGAGAGGGGGGCTCCTCGCTGGATCCCTGGGCCGTCGACGACAACACTCCTCGGGACGACGAGCTGGCCCCGGGAAAAAATGGCACCACCACTATCGTAGGCAGGAGGAGGGGGAGGAGGAGGAGGAGGAGGAGGAGGAGGAGGAGGAGGAGGAGGAGGAGGAGGAGGAAGAGGAGGAGGAGGAGGAGGAGGAGGAAGAGGAGGAGGGAGGAGGAGGAGGAGGAGGAGAAGGAGGACCTCCCCATCCTCCCTTCTCCCCCGTCCTGCCTATGGTGGTAGTGGTGGAAGGCCTAGAGTAGGAGCTCGACCACGAGAAGCCTTCCACGAGAAGCCTAACCCTGAAACCCCAGGACGTCCATGAATTCTGGGTGTGGGAACGTCGCGCTTCCTGTCGCAAGACCATCGAAACCCAAGAAACCCAAGGGACCCTGGAGGCAAGCAGGGTGTTTCTTGGCATGTGTTTCCACTGTAGACCTCCGCGGGTCCACGTTGTGACCAAAAACGGGAGGTCGGAAGCCTGGGAAGGGCGCCTATTCCCGAGATGGTGCCCGGGATATCCGAGAGCTGGCCCAGTCGACTGTTGGACGACTGGCCCGGCGCAGCTAGGCCGCGAGCCTCACCTCGATGCCGCCGTGGCTCATCGTCTTCGGAACCTTGTTTGCCACACGGCGGCTGCGACTGTCGGATAACTTGAAATGGGGCTTGGGCAGAGGAGTTGCAGGAGCAGGAGGAGCAAAATATTCAGACCAGACTGCATGAGGCTACGGTCGATGAGGGGGTCGCTCGGCACACTTGCTAAGAGCTGGAGGCGCCGCTTCTTCAAGGCTGAAGAACGCCATGACTCGGACTGCCCGGCAATACGGAGGATGAACTGACAACTGACGGCTGGTTGCGCGAGCGTGGTGTCTTGAACGGGGTGAAGAGGCGCCTGCGTGGCACAACTGGACCAGGCGGGCACGTGCGACAAAGGGAGACAGAGCGAGAGAGAGGAGCCCTTACCTCCTGCCAGGAGGTCGCCGTGCCGAGCTGACGAGAGGATGGGTTCGTCTCGCCCCATGATGCTGCCTGCTGGCCGCCTGCGCCTCTGCTTCTCTCTCTCTCTCTCTCTCTCTCGAGAGAGAGAGAGAGAGAGAGAGACAGCGAGAATAGAAAAGAGGGACCCACCTTGCCAGTCCTTGTCCTGATCAACCCGCTTTCCCCTCGTCCTCCTCCTCTTCCTCTTCCTCCTCGTCCTCCTCCCGATCCTTGTCCACGTCCTCCGCCTGACCATCTTCGTCGTCTGATTCCTCGCAGTAGGATTTGAAATACATACTGCATGAGAAGCCGTCGTACCAAATGTAGAGAATGCTGTACTTTTGGCTGCAATCGGATCCGCAGTATAAGCTGCCGTAATAGTTGTAGCACGGCAGCCCTGAAATAAGAGCTGTAAGGAGGGTTGTGTTTCTGGCTGCCGTTTGAGCGGTGGTACTATAGGAGCTGTAGTCGGGGCCAGAAGTGGTTGGAGCTGCGCTGCCGATTGCCGTTGGGGTTGTGATGGGAGCTGTACTGGCAGCTGTGTCAGGGAACTGCATAAACGTAAAGTTCATTGTGATTCAACTGTAGTGAGACCTCTGGTACGGGCTGCACGAGGAAGTGTGCCGGATGCTGTCTCAGGAGATGAATTGTAATCAATACGACTGGTTGTTCTTGGAAGTGTGAAAAGAACTTTGCAAAACAAAAACTGTTCAAGGCTGTACAACTTGCTGCCGTCGGACATGGTATCACAGCTGCGATTGGATGTATGGCAGGATGTGTACAACCAACTGTAGCAGGAGTTGTAGCAAGAGTTGTAGTGCGAGCTGTGCGAATGGCTGTTGTTAAAACTGCTGCATGTGCTGCAGGAAGAGCTGCAGAAGGAGCTGGTGTAAAGGCTGTTGTCGGAGATGTGGTGGGAGCTGTAGAAAGCAAGTGCGAAAATTCTGGGAATGGGTTCCGCAAGAGCTATCGCACGGCCTGTTTTAGGAGCTCTGGTCGGGGCAGTAGTATGTACATGTGACCGGGGCGGAGGGTGCTACGGGAGCGGTGCCACAGATCTGTAGTTAGTTCGGTAGTACGATATGAAGCATGCGCTTTATTGTAATAGGATGTGTAGTCAACGCTGTACTTCTGGCTGCAACAGGAACTGCATGAGGAGCTGCTAAGGGGCATCCTGGGAGATGTGGACTGCACCTCCCTAGGGCTGCTTGCAAATGGCCGTGTAAAGGACATCGGGAAAGAACGTGTCAGCACACTGAACTACAAACTGCACTGGGAACCACACGACGAGCTGCAATACAATATGTAATACGGTTTGTGCCATCATCTGCAATACGGCTTGTAAACATCTGCACAATGAGGGCCCGTGTGGTGAGTTGTCGTAATGGTTGTAATCGTGGCTGTAGTGTGACTTGCTGTAAGAGCTGAATGAGGAGCTGTTCTAAGCTATGTGTGCGGCGCTGTAGTGAGAGCTGCGGAAGGAGAGGCTTTGAGGGGACTGGACTACTGGCTGTACAATGAGCTTTCGTATGATCGATTATAGGACCTGTAGCAACGGGCAGTGGTAAGCACTGCAACGACAGCTGCAATACAACTTACACTAGGAGCTGCAAGGGGAGCTGCACGAGCTTACACTGGGAGCTTACACTAGGAGCGGCGTTCTGCGCCGCTGTTTTCTTCCTCGTTTTCCTCCTCTTCCTCCTCCTCCTCCTCGCCCTCCTCCGGTTGAATGTTAGTCTTGCAGCTTTGCCCTTTGAGGCGGGGTTCGCACGTGTACCTCTTAATGTGATGGCCTTCGGGCGCCTCGGCATGCGGACGTTGTCACGCTCGTGGCGCGCAGGCGGCGCCGTCATGATATTGATTGCTATCCTCTTGCGTCCCAGTCGCTGTGTTTTTTGCCCTCCCCTCTTCTTCCTCCTCGTCTCTCGCCTCCTCTGAGCACTTGCTTCTCGGGTATTTGTATACTTGCCCCTTTTCCCGAGTGTGACTGTGGTTGGGTATGCCCGTCGCCTCCCCGGCCGCTGTGTCGCTTTACCAGGCTTTGCTTGGGGGAGCGGTGCTGTGCCTCGGGGTGTGGAGAGGGGGATGCACTGACGAGCCCTTGACCGCAGCTAGTGTAACCTAGACGCGGCCCGGAACCCTGGCGTGCGGCGCTGCCCGGTTCTCCGGGGAGAGCGGCGGTTTTCGGGCGGCGTCCTCCCGCCGCGCTCGCCTCATTCATGTTGTGCCAGCAGGGGAGGGAAGGGGTGTGTAACACCACCGCCTATCCGTCGTCGGCTGCCGGGCCCAGATCTGCATTCGCCGGGCAGTTCTGAGTCGCAGCGACTGGGGGCCGGGCGCTGGCGCCAGCGGCCGGGCGCCGGCGCGCGCACCCCAGACGCTGTCGAGATGCGAAATGCGAAAAAAAATGTGGCAAGGCACTGCCATAGACAGTGTATCCAGGTGTGCGGTATACGGTGCGGTGGGAGCTGTAATGAAAAAGTGTACCAATGGCTGGTTTAGGAACTCTGTCAGGGGCGTCACTATCCAATACACCCGGAGCTGCGTTGGGGTGCGAAGTGCTGGTAGATGGGGTTGTAATTAGGATTGCGGCAAAAACACGCGTGAAAGCTGTACGGCTGGCTGCGCTGGAAGATGCAATGATAACTTCGCTAAATTATGCGGGAAGGTGTGCAACATAAGCCGCAGTCGGAACTGCAGCGCGAGTTCCTAAAAAGGAAGGTGTGCGGCCAACTGTGCTAAGAACTGGTGTAAGATCTGTAGTACAAATTGTAGAAGGAGTTATTGTGGGAATTGTTGTAGGGGTTGCGATAGGAGCTGCTGTGAAAGGAGCTGCCGTAGGAGCTGGAGCAGGAGCAGTTCTCTGGGCTGCATCAGGACTCGTACTGAGACTTGTGGTGTAATGGCGTTCGTATACATGCCGTCTGCATTATTGCAATCGGAGATGCCAAAAGAGCTGGTGTAAAACGTGCAGTGAGAGCTGAGCGCGTGGGGGTCTGCACGACTCGCAGTAATTGAACTCGTGCTATCCCTTTTTCCAGGGGCCCAATCAACGCGGCTATACTACGACGTGTGGCGTAAGCAGTACTACTGTCTGCTGTGTGAGTTGTATTCACAGCTGGGTGATAGTATGTGCAAGAGAACTCTAGAAGACGCTATACTAATATAGGTTTTGGTTTTGAGCATATGGGAAGTCGAGCGGAACTCGAATGCTCTTTAGGTGCGAGAAACTGTATTTGGACGCCCGAAATGGGTACTGAAAGAATGGGTACAATGCCCAACAACAATTCCTGTTCAGTTTGAACAGGGCTCGCTGTCCACGCCGCCGCGGCCTGTGTCCATTCGAGACAGAAGGCCGCCTGCCCAACAGCGGCCGCTGTTGGCTTGGGACAACATTTGTTGTTGGGCATAGTGCCCATTTTTTCGGTACCCATGTCGGGCGTCCAAACTGTAGTGGAACTCTGTCCATATGAGTTTTGGCCGGAGCTGTGCTACCTTGCCGCAATAACAGCTGCAATGCTAGCGGCATTCGGGCTGCCACAATACGCGTGCAGTGCGCTCTCGCCGGGGTGGTGGTAGCTGACAGTTGTGGTTGGAGCTGCACGCTGAGGGCCGAACATCCACCCCATAATGATCACCCCGACAAGCGAAGCCGTTTAGTATACTCCCCCAGGGAAGGAATTTAAGTGGGCAGGGCTGTCTAGTAAACGCCCAGGGCCGTTTAGCAAACGCCAATCGTCAGGACCTCGGTGGTTCTTGTCATCCCTTGAGCACTGGCGGTTGCAGTGAGATCTGCACTGCGCCCCGTCGTAGGAACTGGAACTGTAAGAAGCCGTCGCAAGAAGCTGCGTTTGGAGCTGGATTGGGAGCTGTGTTGTTGGTTGCACTGTGGGTGCGGATACTAGTATTAATGGAATGTGTCAGCTGCAGGAGCTGTAGTAAGAGCTGTAGAAGAAATCCCATCAGCCTTTTGGGCGTAGGTGGTCTAGAGTGTCTCCTCTGCCTACTTCCCCATTGGGGAAGGGTTTATCATTGTTCCCTATTCATATACACCCCCTCCCCCAGGCGACTGGGCCAGGGAGCATGCGCAGCGAACCCGATGCGGCCTCCCCCCCACCATCCCTGCCAAAAAGCAATACAACGCACACTTGGCGGCGGCGGCGGCTGCGGCGGGGGCAGCGGCTGCGGCGGTGGCGGCGGCGGCAGCAATGGCGGCAGCGGCTGCGGCGGCAGCGGCTGCGGCGGCGGCGATTCGACAGCGGGGGCGGCGGCGGCGGCGGCGGCGGGGGCGGCGGGGGCGGCGGGCGGCGCGGCGGCGGCGGCGGACGGCGGCGGCGGGCGGCGCGGCAGCGGCGGCGGCGGACAGCGGCGGCGGCGGCGGCGGCGCGGCGGCTGTGGCGGCGGGCGGAATCGGCGGCGGCGGAGGCGGCGGCGGCGGCAGCGGATTCGCCGCCAGTAGCTGCCTATCCAAAGACGACTGCTGAATATGCTGCGGCTCGGGCCAGGCTCGGGTGCTACGTATGTGTTGGGAGGGCGAGTGGGAGTGAGCGAGACGGCTTGCGGGCGGGGAGGGGGTTTTGACCCCTGGACCTCGACGGGGGGTTCCCCGACGCGTTGGAGCGTCCAAGACGGCCTCGGC